CCCACATTTAAAACGAGTGACTGAATGAGTAGTAAACCCGGTGAACCAGCCCTTGTCCACAAAAAGTGGGTAAAGTGTCTCAGCCTCTTGCACTTCCATTCCAAACAACCTCAAACTTTGGTTGCCCTCTTACCTTCAAAAGGCAAAAGATTTATTCTATCTGAAGAGAAACCGGAGTATCCCACTCTGACCTTTACAGGAGAATCTGGATCTGTATTCTAAATGATAATTGTTAGTACACTCTGGCGCTCTGGTACCTTTCTTCCTAGACTAATTAAGAAGGTGGTACGTGAAACATGATTATCTGTTCCAAATATGCAAAATGGCTGGGGTTCAAAGGAGGGAAGCATGCTTGTAGGTAAAAAGTGACGTTTTTCTTTTCTGTTTTTTTCTCTTTGTTTCTCTCTGTTTCCACATTAGGGCTTGACACATTTCTAGAGAGGTATATTTAATATAGAAACCTCGTTTCCTTGGTTGAATCAGGCCAATGGGGCTTGAACTATGAGCATAAAATTGAACCACATTCTTCTAAATTCCACATCCTTGTTTTCATTCTTTTAGGCTGAAGGTGAAACTTGATGCACAGTGTCTTTTTGTCACATACACACAAACAAACTTGCGATCTGAACCATCTTTCCATCTACCACTAGCATAAGAAATACTATTCAAAGGGTCTTCAGCTCCACAAGAGAGTTGATGTAGTTGATAGTAGGTGCCGTCAAGTACAACTCACAGTGACCCTAAGAACAACTGATCCGAACCCTGTCTTATCGTAAGCTTTCCCTGCTGTCTGTGATACACTTGAACCCATTGCTGCAGTCACTGTGTCAATCCATTGCACGAGAGGTCTTCCTCTCTTTCACTGACCCTCTACTCTTCCAAGCATGATATCCCTTTCCAAGGAATTGCCTTTTCTGGCCACATGCCACAATATGTGAGACAGAGCTTTGCCATCCTTGCCTACAAGGCTGGGCCCTTTCTAAGACATACCTGTTCATTCTTTTGGCAGTCTATGGTGATTCAGTACTAGTGTTCTCACCTTCTTTCTGAAGGTCTGGGTTCAGTCCTCATGCAATCAGCCCCAAACCCAGTCACCAACTGTCCTTGTATTTTAGTATGATTCTAATCAGGAGTTCTCAGATGAAGAAACACCAGGAAGAAAGACCTGGCAATCAAGTTCCAAATTAAGCCAGCAAAAGCCCTGTGGATCACAGTTGTCCAGACCACAACCAATATTGAGAATAGCCCAGGTTTAGCCAGAAGGGCCTTCCACGGTGCAAGGGCCTGGGATGACCAGGTGTAGGATATGACATGATCACAAGTAACCAAAGTCAGAATCACAATTTTCGAAAGTATCAATTCCTACAAGAGAAGGAATTTTAATTAGCATTAAGTCACTGAAGAACAAAAACATAGTATTGGATATCAGTGCCATAAACATATTCCTACTTTTTTGGGTTTTTAAAAAATTTTTATTTTATTAATTTTCATGAACATTTACAGAGATTTTGGATTTCCATTCATTCATTTTTGCACTATTTTCACTACCATCTCCCCAGTTCATTCCTCTTTTTTTTCCCTTGAAAGTCTGTTTTAATTGTCCCATTGCCACAGTGCTTCTCAAAACCAGTTCTGATTAATCTCCTTTGTCAGTGTGTCCTTTGCCATTCCCTATCACTTCTCCCTGAGAAAGACTTCACCCTGATTCATAAGGAAAAGGGGGTGGCGTATTTTCTTAGCTACTTGCTGCTGAAAAGGGACGCTGTAGGTTTCAGGGTGAAGATCTTCTCTCACTACTCTAAAGGGCCCCTTTGGCAGTAGGAAACACATAGACTATTATGGAGATTGATTTTGGACATATTCCTACGTTTTAAGTACTGTTCACATAGATAGTCCTCCCTGTGGTCAGCATCTTTCCTCTTGCCTCCTGTTTATGACCTGTGAGCCAAGAATGATCATCACATTCTTAACTAGTTTTGAGAAGGATATTTGACACATGAAATATGATATTCACATTTCAGCATCTGTAGTTAAAGCATCATTGGAATGCATGCAGTGGCAGCCATACCTAGTGGTGGTGGTGGTGGTGGCCACTTTCACGCTGCAAGGACAGAGTAGAAGAACCTTGCCAGAGACATGGTGTGCAAAGCCAACCATATTTACTACCTCCTTGGATCCATGGAAAGGTGGCTGGCCCTGCTGTTGACTACAGTTGCATTAGGCGTTTGACCTTGCCATGTGTTAAGTAAGGCCACTCTTTACTTTCACTCCGCTGCTATCTGCTCCGTCCATGGCCCTGGTCGCGTTATAAGTGAGCTGCATTGATGGCAAGGTTTTGGCAAGGAAGAGTTCATCTTTGAATGGCAGGTCGGGATTCTCTGAATGCGACTAGACAGTCTCCATGCTGCTAATGAGAAACTGTAATGTGAACATTGCAGCCCAGAATCCTACTTTGTGGGAGGAAGGAGGGGAGCCCCAAACCTCCCCCACTCCGGAATCATTGACTGCCCAGTTCTGCCCCAGACTGGAGAGTCTAGCTCGCTTCCACATCTCTGCTCACTAAGCACCCACATTTGCAGCAGACATGATTCATTCCTTGGTTTGTTTAATCAATATTTATTCATCACCCACAAGGTGCCAAATATAGAACAGCACTTCCTAGATGAGGGAGGCGGACAAGAAAAACACCGCCCTGTGATGAGGAAGCTTGTACCCTAATATGGACGGAACATGATGTTGTTTCCATCTTGCATATGGATAAGGAGCGTTCAGATCAGGGCCTTTACCTGGACCTTTATAGAATGCAAAGGGGACCATGTGTTTATCACTGGCATTATTGTTCAGTGGCTCTGCATTGGCTCTGACCCGTTGCAACCCTGTGGACAAGAGATCTGAGCCTTGCCCCATCCTGCCATCCTCACAACCCCTATCATGTAAGCTCATTGCAGGACTCTCTGTCAGTCTGTCTTGTTGAAGGTCTAACTCTCTTTCTCTAACCTGCTGATAATTCTTTATCATTAACAAATAGTCACTATTTATTAATATTATTGTTGTCATTGTATGCTGCCAAGTCAGAATCGACAACTGGCACTCAGTGGATTTTCAGGGACTGTAAACCCCATGGAGGAGATTACCCATCTTTCTTCCATGGAGTTGCTGCTGGGCTTGAACCGCCTGCCTTCGGATTGGCATCTCAGCCCCTTACCATTAAATCACAGTCAATCTTAATTGCCAGTTTGTATTGTTGTTGTTGTTATGTGCCATTGAGTCACTTGTGACTCATAGCGACCCTGTGTACAATAGTGCTAAATTCTGCTCTGTCCTGTGCCAACCACACTGTCTCCGACACACCCATCCCGATTACCCCAGTCACTGAATCAATCCATCTCATAGAGGGCCTTCCCCTCCTGTGCTGTCCCTCCACCCTCCCAAGCATGATGTCCTTCTCCAAGGACCTGTCCCTCCTTACAATGTGCCCAAAGTATGTTACATGGAGCCTCAGAATCCTTGCCTCTAAGGAGCCACCCAGTTTAACCCTTTCCAGGCTGAATCTGTTAGTTTTCCTAGCAGTCCATGGTATTCTCAATACTCTTCTCCAGCACCACAGCTTAAAGGCATTAATTCTCCTTCTATCCTCCTTAGTCACTGTCCAACTCTCTGATGCATAAAGTGATTGCAAAGACCATGGCCTATATCAGACGCACCTTAGTCTCCAGAGAGACACCATTGCTCTCCAGTACTTTGGAGAGGTCCCTAACAGCAGACTTTCCCATGGCAATACATCTTTTAATTTCCTGGCTACTGATGCCCAGAGTGTTGACTGTGGAGCCAAGCAAACTAAAGCTGTGAACAATCTCAATCTCTTCACCATCCATCCTGATGCTGCCAATTGACCCAGTGGTGAGAATCTTTGGCTTCTTGACATTGAGCCTCAATCCATGTTGGAGGTTGCAGTCCTTGACCCTCTGCAGCAAGCGCTTTAGGTCCTCCTCACTTTCAGCAAGTAGAGTTGTGTCATCTGCACATTGCAATTTGTATTAAGTAATGCTAATAAATGCTGTCATTAATAATGAACAGTTTTTGGTAAAAGAAGTGGATTGAGACAGTAACTACTGCAATGGACTTGAGTATGACAGAGTTCATGAGGAAGGTGCATGATGGGGCGAAGTCCAGTCATGGTAACCTTGACAGTACCTAACAACAACGTTATTGATAATAAAGAAATAACTACCAAGAAAGCATCCTATCTTTGTAACCATAGACATTGCTGTTGTTGTTGTTATGTGCCGTCGAGTCGTTTGCGACTCATAGCGACCCTATGTACAACAGCCCTAAACCCTGCTCTATCCTGTGCCAATCACACTGTCTCTGACACACCCATCCCGATTACCCCAGTCACTGAATCAAT